TTAAAAAAGTGGTACAGTGGCGAATTATCAGCTTCAGAAAATGCTTAAAATAATATATAGTTATGTCTGTCAGTGCAATAATTGACCAGGGGTTGTTTGTTTTTGGTACTTGACACCCTCAAAATGCTTTAGAGCGCCTTCGCTCCTCAAATAGAAAGCGAATACGGAGAGAGTTCTGAATTTTGACGAAATCACGCCGGATAAAGTAATTAATTATTAAAAATTAAATGTAAAATATACTGTTTAACATAAATTAACTAGTTTTGATTTAGTGGCTACTTTAATGACCATCTGACCGATTTTTTTAATTCAAACACAGCTACCACAACTTTAGATACGCCCTTCTGGATGATGAAATACATGAAACCGTAGCAACCGTGTCTGAATTTGATGTAAGCTAGGATTATGTTTTTTAGCCTTATTGTGTAATTAATTGTTTAAGTATTTCAGTACTACTCCATACAAGATGATTCATTTGCAAGTTTCTCATATGATACGCTAAAGGATCAGGGTATTCGAGCACCAGTTTCAATTGATGATCCACGATTGCAAAAAACTTGGCACATCGCTGTGGACGATATACCACCGATGGAATTTTGCATAAATCGTATTGCCAATGTGACAGTTTATAATAACACCTACGAATTTGATGTTACCGAAATTCACGGTATAATGATTTTCATCTTGAGTTTTTTATTAGTTTTTTTTTATTTCTTCAGCTTTTATCTTAAACTTTTTTTTGCGTTTCAGTTCTAATTTCTAAAACAATTATGATATTTTTGTCTTGGGTACCAGCACTGCTGTGGACTTTTCCTTTTTGCCGGTATCTTTTGTGATTCAAAAAATCGGATGAGCCGAATATTGAGTGCTTTTGCGATTTATTTCGTCTCCTGCTGGCAGTTCTGCCTAAATTTATCTAGTCCCCTTATTTTCTTAAGATTCTTTTTTCAAGACTCATTGTATTTTCTGCTTTCATAGTAAAGTTAAGAAGCGTGATGATTTTAATTTTTTTAAACTATGATTTAACCTCAAAATTCATTTCCGCACGATTCAGCCTTTCATTCTTGAAGCTGTACGCTACTGGCGATTCCAAATTTGGAGGATTTTTTTGGTTTCTACTTACACTTTTTTTTAGGTTCGAAAATCATAAAAATTCAACTTTTTCCCTTGCTAATGCAGCTTTTTTCAGATTGCGTTTTACTGAAATTCACTGAAAAAGAAGTGAAAGAAATCCGAAAAAATTCAAGTGTTTTACGAGAATTATTGAAAGAACGTCATATCACATTCAGGCCTGAAGATGCTCTTATCATATCGAAAGGAATTTTGAAATTCAGTCTACGCACCATTCATTTCAGTCCAGTTTCAACCGATCAAAGACCGGAATGTTACCGAATTGATGTAAATTTTACTTTTTTACTTGTTTTTGTTGCATAGCAAAAATCGTAATTGCTGCACCAACTTATATGAATTGTAATTTTTATGAAATCATATAATGAGTAACTTGGTCAAAAGTTTTCGAAGAAAAATTTTTTGGCGGACTGAAAGTTCTGTATAGTATAGAGACAGGCAAAAGAGGATGGGGAAGAGAAAAAAAAGAATTTTTTAACATTTCCACTAAGAAAAATCGCGAGATAATATTTTTCAAATGAGAAAATATCTTAATAAAAATGATAATTGAATTTTTTGCGCTTGCGATGGCACAGCTGCGCCTGGCGAGTAATATCACTAACATGGGATACCCACACCGACTGTTCGTGGTATTTTTTTTTGCGTATATGCGTAGAAATGAAATGTTGCTGTAAAATAATTAAACTCTGAGAATCGCTGAATATTTAGGTTTCGGTAATATTTGACAATTCGCGACATACAGGACAAGTATACATATATTTATCAACAATAATTAGCTATGTTACTTTGTGCAGTGGCCGAGTATTGCATGGTATATTTTTTTTTCCAAGCATAGCAAAAACTGTTTTTTAATACTATTTTTGGCTATATTCCATATTTCTGAAATCGTGAGAATCGTTTTGGAACTCATCATTTTTTTACTCCCCTGAAATTTTTTGGAAGTTAAAATTTAAAAAAAAAAAGTGCCCCAGCAACTGAGGCGGGCATACCGATCCTGAAAAAATA